CGAAAGTTTGACGTTTGAAACAATTGGGAGCGACACTTGAATCACGACATCAGAGCGACTTGGTTTAATTCAGACGTCGCTCTTGCCATGAGCCAAAGCCAATGCAAATGTATGTTTTAAGTTCGTCTGTCCGAAATCAAAATTTAATTGGGTCGACCCGAGTCGCTCTTGACTCTAATTGGTTCGGCGCGACCCTAGAACGGGCTGCCTCAAATGGATGTCACAGACTAAACATAAACACATAGACCGCCAATCTTGCGCGTGTAACTGTGATTTTGAATAGCGTGGGCAAGCAGTGGGCGAAACGATGGATGGCAGCGCGTTCAGTGCACGTTACGCGCAATGCACTTACATTGCCAAAATACACATTTCACTTTTTGCTCTTCGGTACTGCTGTCTCTTCTCTACAAATGTTGCAAACGCATCGTTTTGAATTTACATGGACCAGATTGGCTTCATGGAATCTAGGGCTGGGATTCTTCAACCGTACGTAAATTTCCTATACCGAGGGGTGAATTTGCCCATAGTTTTGATTTTAGTTGGGCGCTGTGCAGATCATGGAATACCCCTGTAGGTTTTAAAAGGATCTGCTGGTCTATGCGTTTATTTGTCTGTGGATGAACTCAAGAAAGGAAGAGCGCCACCACAAGGTAGGAATTTGTCACTCAGGAAGTTAACAAAGAACATTACTCTGGTAAACACGTTCCTTCTGTAATGTTTTCTCCAATTTGACAAACACGATAACGATGAGGCTGCTTCTTTCAATGTTTATAGACTTTTCAGGGAGACAATATAACTGCAGGTAGCACTACAAATAAGCGCTTAAATTATAGGCAATTAAGTCACGATATCCTACTGGTCGAAGAGGCATGTAACACGCGCGTACCCCCTATCAAGGAGCATACATGGTGCCACCGCTCTAAGGTTTCTATAATTCTGCACGCCAAGTTGCACTGTAGAGACGCAAATCAGTGACGGTGAGTAACTGGGCATATGAGCACGATCTTTGATAGCCTTCTCTGTTTTAATTTCATTAACCTCTCTCCCAGGTGAAGACGGGTTTCATACTAAATGTTATCTGCGTCCTCGTTGCCAACGCCAGCATCAACACACTGGGCATGTGGATCTTTGATGTGGGCACGTTTCCCGATTGGGCAAAGGTCAACGTGACAGCAACCTAGTAATATGATATCATGACCAGCTTCCTGACCCGACGACGACATTAGTTGAATCGACTACGAGATGGCCTTTTAGCAACTAATTTTTGTAATGATAAATCAAACGGGGTTGATGTAAACAGCATCGCCATGGTAGTTTTAAACTGTTTAAATCAAACCTTATATACACAGACGCTTGAAGTGTACCTAAATACAATATATCAAATACAGTCCAAACACAAATACACGACGTACCCTGTTGAAAGTACAACCGTCCAGTTGTGGATAACGTTGACAAAGTTCTTGGTACGACCATTGGATCAAAGATTAGAATTGTTAGTAATTTTATAGATTAATGATTGAATTATTACTTTCCTGTGACATACTGATGTCTCTCTGATTTCCCTTTCTTTTATCGAGATATGCCTGTACATTTGCATAACCGTTGTTTATTTTCTTTGCAGTTTTCGTCAGATTTGTTGGTGTTGAGTGGACCGACTACCTCATTTATACACACAGTAACTCTAATAGTTAACATACTTGCATTTTTTTCACTACCTTTTTATCAGTATACTCCCATTTTAACGTGGAGGTAAATGGGCTCCTTGAATAACATCGCTCTCAATGGCAAAAATGTCCACCCTGGTTTTAAACACGTCGAATTAGCTTTAACTTCAAGCACAAAGAGACATCTTTAAAACTGCTGGTATTTACGACTTGGCTCGACCAGGCTTCGGACGGCCTCAGCTGGTTTCGGTTTACTTGCACGTGGACGCAAATTACTCATGGCGTTCTAAAATTTTTGGCATTTTTGGCATGTACGATTTTAAAGAATTTCTGTGACTAACTTTCGTTGGCGATCGGGTAATTCAAATTCATAAATCGAAGGGCCAAGGTTAATGAGTTTTCTTTTTCCG